ACAGTATAAACTGAGGAGTGAGTCCCGTGAGTTTCATGTGTTTTCTTCACTCTGCTGTTAAACTACTCTTATGTCAAGAAGCATCAGATCAGTGCATGTGCTGCATCAACCAATCAGTGAGCGATACACAGTAAGGGGGCGGGGCGAGTTTCTGAGGATTTCACCGGAGGATGGTCTGGTGGTTCCTCGATTATAGCTCCTCCGTTATCGCTCCTCGACCCTCGGTCCTCCGGCACAAATAAGGCCACTGGGACGCTACTCAAGATGGCGCAGACAAATCAACTTCCAGTGATACCGAGACCGAGGAGCGAGGAAATTGAGTGAGTGAGACGCAGCCTAGGGCTGTAAAATGTATTAAAATTGTTTGGGAATCGCAACACAGCCCCCCTGCAATGTCTTAAAGGTCCCCTATTATACTGTTTTTCATCAATATATTACAGGTCTCAGTTATACAAAACATGTCTCTGAAGTGTTTGGCTCCAAATACCAAACAGATCATTGCAGCATTACCCATAATCCCCTCTGTTTCAGCCCTGTTTCAAAGAGCTGATTCTCTGTCAGTTACTTTAGATGAAAATAAGGAGCCCCTCCCCACGCCCCTCTGAGAGAGATTTGGTTACAAATAACTCAATGGTGCTTTAGGAGGAGATTCAGGTGATAAGGTGGGGGTGGGGGTGGGGGGGGGGGGGGTTACCTTGGTTGCTGATTGGCTAATGATTACACAAGACAAAACATCGGTATGACATCATAAAGTGGCCAAAATCTGATCAGCTCGTTTTCAGACAGGTTTTTTATATAAATGGATCAAAAGAGAGAGAATCTTTGTTCCTGAAACTTTCAGAGTCTCTTTCCACAGAGGGGACACATGTTGATGAAGAAGAGACATGAAGAAGAGGGGACACATGTTGATGTAGAAGAGACATGAAGAAGAGGGGACACATGTTGATGTAGAAGAGACATGAACAAGTGGATTTTGCATCATAGGTCCTCTTTAAATCGCAACTGGTGCAATATTTGTTAAGAGTATGGCGAATTTGGTGAACAAATTAATTAATTGTTTCAGTTTTAAGATCTTCACAAAAATGAAGGGCACACCACCAAGTCAAACATTATTTGGATAACGAATGTTCAAAACCCAGAGGGACTGAGACTACATTTTCATTTGATAAAAGCTACTTTCAAGAACATTTCCGCAAACACCAACTCAACTCGTTGTTTTTCCGCCCTACACTTTCAAAGATTGAAACCTTGTTCCCAGACCCTGTTTTGCTAGTTAATGTTTGAAAACCTATGATGTATAAAAAATCTAACGTGGAAGAGGAGCAAAGATGTCTTCAACACTAAAAAAGGGTCGCTATTCAGCATCTAACGACCTTGCTCTTGAACACATCTCGGTATCTAACAATGCTTCTCAAGTGTGGTCCGCGGACCACTGGTGGTCCGTGAGCGCCCCCTAGTGGTCCGTGAGTATATTGGTAACATTTCACATTTGAAATTAATTAAAGTTTTCCGCACTCTCGCGCGAATATTTCCGCAATGGAGCGAGCTTAAGTTTAACTTTCAATTGCATCATATAGCCCAGCGCAACACCTTCATCACACATGTTGCCACTTCTTTGTACCAGTTTCATGCGATTTGTAATCTATTCTAGAAAAACGATGTGTTTTTTTAATGGTTAAGTGGTCCTTGGTATGAAAAAGTTTGAGAAACACTAAACAAACATGGACCCTCAAAAACGTTGGGAAATATTTTGTCTTTAATTTTAAAGTGGTCATCTGTCTTTAAGCCTTTTTTAAAGTGAGCAGCAATACAAAGAATCTATGAAAGTCTCATATTTATATTGTGTGGATTGGCGGCAGAGTCAAAAGCAAAGCAGTAAATAAAACAATCAATAGCTCGCTGCTGTAATTGCAGCTTGAACACAGATGCATTTTCCTTAAATGTTTTTTGTACATGACAAGAGAACCGGCCAGTGGATCAATGATGAGCATAATAAACAAAATAAAGGATAAACGCTGTAATTGTACGCAACTATTGAGATGTTTTTTTGTCACATGTTCAAAAAATCTAGATTAGTCATGCTAGGATTCTCAATTTTACATAAAACAACCCTAACTCTTTGATCGTTTAATATCCATCATGTTAGCATAATGTATGGCAATACAAATCTTCTTTATCTCTTTATCTCTCCAAACGCACAATTCAACCAATGTATGCATACCTTTTGTGTGGATGAGTGGCAGAGAATTTACGCTGGGAATAATATTTACATAGCCCACTGTGGACCACCAACTTTGCAATGCTTACACAGTGGGTCCTGCACACACACTCGCAGTGCACGGAGGAACAAAAACACAGAGAGCTGTCCAGTCAAATCAGCTCTTATGACACAACCCGGTTCAAGTTTTAAACAATAATGCAATGTGGAGCATGTGTGTGTGTCATTTATTAGCCATGCTGTCTTGGAACAATCAGAAATGTGATCAGGACAATACGTCAGGCAGGATGTGCTCACCATAGGAGCATCTGCTATTAGGAACTTACTTCAGCAGCCACAGAGCTTTGAACAAAAACAGACATAATGTAATGCAACATTAACATCTGCCAAAACAGCCTGTACCTTAGTTTGAATTTTCTCTGCTCTACTCTCAAATAAAACCTGTTCAAAAACCAGCAATAAACAGTATTCTCCTTGCTTTGAAATATATTCTAAACACACCTTCAGTCGTTGTGTAAGCACCAGCGTAAGAGGAAATAGGCTTGGCTAGAATCCCAGCCTTTAAAAGAAACAGCCAACAAGATGTGCACTTGTAGGATTTCCAAAATGCCTGCGCAGGTCTGCCAATTCTATTTTTTTTTCCTCACCAATTTAAGACGCAACTGCTCATACTGCAGGGTATCCACCACTAACCACACCAAGCAGCCGATATGCAAGAGAGAATAACATGCCTTTTCATCCCATGACTTGGTACTTGAGCGTCAGTTACGGATGCTTTGATATGAATCCCCAAAGGGAAAGTCCCTAGGAGTGTGTTGTGGTACAGGATGTATGGTAGTGTGCGTCCAAGTGTGCCAGTTTTGAGAAGGTCTGTATAACTATTAGGACTTTCCTCAAGGCCACAAATCAAACCTTAAATACACAAAACTATCAACACATTAAATGTCAGGTTACTCATCCAGGAGACTTCTATTCAATCTGTGAAAACAGATGTACAATGGCTCAGTAGGAAACACTTTGATAACTCATTAGTGAGGTTCAGGCTCACAGAACAAATACCCTTTACAAGGGGCATGGAGATTGAAAGATAAGGGTAATAACAGACAGGAAAGGTGAAATAAACAACACAATTGTTCTATGATCAATTACTATTTCCCCATTGGGGGTTTCATGGGGCGTGGCAGAACATGATGACTGAGATTCTATTTTCATATTGGAGATGCAGATATTAATAATGCTATCCTGACTTATTCAGAGTCCTGAAGGAGAGTTGGAAAAACACACATTTACCAATTTAGAACGATCGACGTTGGTTTGACCCACGTCCTGTCAATTTGAATCCACAACTCCGTTTCCTTGAGCAGCTTTCCAGCTATGTGCTCATAAAACATCCACACATGTGTATCTAAAGGTGTGTCTACCTGTCTACAGTATCTACCTCAAACACCTTGTCAAGATCCTCCTCCAAAAGATGCAGCCTTCCAACTCCCAGCTGCCACTTCTAAAAACATCATGCAGTCCTGGTGCAGTCACTCAACAGATATAACCTGCAAGCATCCTGAAGACAAAGCAAAGGTCTGAGGAAGAAGATGTTATCATTTGTTTAGTTATACTTGGCACCCTGCAGATTTGACTCCAGGTACAAAGGAATGTACTCAGGAAATAAATATGACGCAGGTCCTCGTTTCGTTTCTTTACACCACCCACTTTGCTGCATCAGGATTGAAAGAATATTGCGGTGGTTCATCTTCAAATTATTTTCATTAGAGCTTAGATTTGGATGCACATTCTGTTCTTTTTGCTCCAGTGTGTTAAAAACATCCCTCAGGCGGGATGTGCAGCTGAAGGGTAATAATAGACACTCAAACAGACATAAGCAGCTAAAAGCTGATTTAACTTGGAATATTTCGACATTCTTATAATAAAATGAATGATTTATGGCACAAATGGCAGCCAGAAAATGTGAGAGAGGGATACTGTCATCTCAAAGATAGTATTTCATCTGCACACGGTGATTAATAAAAGGGGGATTTCAAACACATTGCGCTAATAACTTTGAATCATCTTTGAAATTGATCCCAAAACAACTTGAGTGATGCTATCAAGCACTTTTAAATCCCCAATGAAGATAAACCCAGGTAAACTATAACAACAAGGATGAAAGTAAAACCAGAAACATTGCTTAGTCAAATGTACGACAGCTGAAAATATATACATAATGAGTACAAATATGTTGCTGTACTTTACAAAGTTCTGTCAATGGCCTCTATATAGGACACACTTTCTTTTGTACCAATGTGGTTTTGACCAAGTCAATGGCTAAATCACTGGAATGATCCGCCATACAGAGAAGCACTGTCAGTACACAAGTCTAAAATATAAACCATCCAAATCTCAAGCCAGCGCAGGAGAGAGAACTCTTTCCCAATGAAGACAAGCTCAAGACAACTGCAAGAAGAGAAGCCATTCCTACATAGAGCCACACAACATCGCTCATCTCATAGGCCCAAACAATGGCAGAGATTCATCCATACTGATTGGACAAATGAGCAGATGGATTTCACCAGTGTGGCGCCTGCTGCTGGTGATTGTTTAGTCTCATGGGAACACATAGAAAGGCTTGCACACAGCATCATGTTTGCACTTAAAAGCATGTGAATCACATACCTTGTATTCAAGAGAAATGTGTCAGCTTGGCAATGCTCACACATTAGGGAGTGAGGACATATTTGGTCTTACCAGGCGTCGGACAGATTTAGGTTTCCAGCATGTGAAAGGATATGGGTTACAGACGACACGAAGACACCAGTTGCGAGGCCTTGTTGTTTGCTTTAGGCAGAGGGAAGGCCACGGGGGCCAGGACGGGGTACGGCTGCACTTCCTCCTCCTCGGAGACACAGTCTGGATCCCGAATAGGAGTCCTAATGCGAACTCCCAATCTTGGTCCAACTTCCAGCTCCGGTTCCTGGTCCTCCTGCACCTCAGGACTCCATTCCGCTCCATCGCCACGACCAGTCCAACTCCTCCTCGTATCCACCTCCTCCTCTCGTCCTACCTCTTGCTCATCGTGGCCTCCTCCGGGGTCAGCATCATGACCAGGGGGCGTCGTTCCTGTAGGCCGAAGGTATGGCGAGCCTCACCTCCTCCTGAACCCCCTCCGCACTGCCCCCTCGGGCTCTCTGCGAACTGAAAGCGCACTCTCCCCTCGCCATCAGTCATGATAGAGCATCAGGCAGAGCCACGCTGAAGAGGGGGTCAGAGGGAGAGGAGTTAGATAGAGATGGGCAGTGGGAGGGGTGGAAAGAAGGACAACAATGTGATGAGACAGGGAGAGACGGAGAATAGGAAAGAACATTTGCAGGAATGCAGAGAAACAGTGACTGGAAAAAAGAAGGAGGGTGGAAGAGAGAGATCAACTTAGCAAAGAGAATTGGAGACGCATAATGAAAGCCAAATAAACACTCTCATTTCTCCTTTAATCCCTCAGCGGCAAAGTACTGGCGTCCAATAACTATACACACAGATTATCAATATTCGTTAACTAACCTGGCAGCGTTTGAAGCTTTTCATAAGCTTTCATATCAAACATCTCTCCAGGCTTTTTCTTAACATGAACTAGCTGAGATAGAAAATACAACACTATGATTCTTTTTTAGAACATCTAATAAATATTGTCTGATTATATAAACAATTAATAAATACAGTAAACTGAGCGTTCAGCCACAAAGATCTGCTGTTTCAGTGCCAACATAGTTAGAAACACATTTATGTATCCATAGCAATAAAGTCATAAACTGTCAATGCCCCATAATTATATTGTGATATAATGGGAATACTGGGGATTTGTTTTCCCTCTCCCTCGCTCTTCCTGTTGCTATGTGATTGAACAGATGGACTGCTCTGTCTCTGGTCTACTGGAGGTTTTTAGCCCACACCACGCAATGGTGGGCAGGGAATGCGCAAAAAGAAAAAAACACAATAAATGCCACACTAATCCTGATTATTATAATAAGTACAATAACATCGAGCAGGAAACATTAGTCACCATAATCCAGCTAACAGACTTTTTATCTTTTACGGTTTTATTTATTTATTTTTTAATGGGCTTTGTTTGTCCATTGTTTGCCGTTATGAGAGAGAAGCGCATCTTGACGCTTGAGGCAGTTTTATGCTCTCCTAAAGGGAGGGTATGACAAAAGGAGGGAAACATGTGAAACATGCAGTAATTAGGATAGCTGTTGAAAAGTACCTTACGCGTTTCAAATGGTGTCAAAGGAAATGAAAAGAGAATGGAGCGCCCATCACCTGTGTTTTTGTTTTTTCGCCATTAAAAAGTGGTACTCAATCCTGGACTCGATGCAAATTTAAAACATTAAAAGGCAAAGAGGAAAAGTTTATGATTTAAAAATACCTTATCGAGACGGAATCGGAAGTTCCCATAAGCATGATCCGTGACTTTCCGTGTTTCTAGCGCACCCAGCCTTTCCCAGCAACCCGGAGCTTCCCCTTTCCTTTCTTTCTTCCTCTCTGCAAATCTGCCTCACTTCTTTTGCTTTTCACAGATCAACAAGGTATCCGAAAGACGATGTAAAAAAGAAAAAGAAAATCACTGGGAAGTAATGAAGAATCACTTGAAGCGGTCTTCATTTGCTATCCACATCCATACAACCATCCATCCGTCCATCCTCGCCGAGGTGTTTGTTTTACGCAGCGTGGAGCGGAGATTGCGCGCCAGGGTCGAGCCGTGCTGAAGCTCCGTGGATGATCTGACACAGAGAAACTTGGCCCCAGGACTTCGGAGGAAGTCCCTGACACGTGACTTGTACGGCCCGGCTATAGGACCTTAACGCACAGTAGGAGACACACACGCGCGAAAAAAAAGCCAGGAAGAGCCAAGCCGGGCGCGCACGCCCGCTGTGTTTCATGCATCACCATGCAGTCAGGCAAGAAGATACATGGAGCTGGAATGAAACATGCATTAGCCCATTACCCTCTGTGGGAGTATGCCACAGAAACACAAGGAAACGTCATTATTATTTATTATTATTATTATTATATTTTAAGTATATTTATTCTATTATGTTCTTGAATGTGTAGCCATAGTGACTAAGTGCTTCCTGTATGAAAAAACACTACTGTATACAATGGGGAGTTTAAGAGAGATCAATTGTGTCCTTTATGTTTTCAGTAAAACAAAAGTGTATGGACCTTTAGCCTTTATTTCCCCCTGAGGTCAATTCATGTCTGTTGGGTTGAGCAGATTGCATTTCGGGATTTCCACTACACTTTGGGGTGCTGCAAAACAGTGGGTAAAACAATAAAAGAGAAACTGGGCTGCAAGATGATATTGAGCAGTGTGCCATATTTTGTAATTGCAGGACACATGACGCCAAATGAACTCAATACATAACTCATACACTCAAATTACTCTTATGACCAATTCAATAACGATAAAAGTCTCAAAGAAGCCATATTACAAAAAAATGTTGTTTTGGGGACAAACTGTCGTGTTGGTTAGAATTGCTTTATGTTTTATGATATCTGATAACATCGGTGCCAAGATCAGCCTTTTTTGAAAAAATCTGAACCAAATATCCCTCGTTAGTGGACAAGAGTAGCTCATGATACTCAACAGTCAGCAGGAAGTCACCTTGCTTAGCACGACAAATACGTCATCGGGATGTAACAATACACAAACGCTTGTAAACGTGTGTGGCGGTGAGCAGGGGTAAATCAGCCATCTTGGAACTTGCCACCTGTGTTAAACATGTTCTGTCAGTTTCATCATGCTGAAAAAAACTGAATGAAAACACGTTACCAACATTGGGAAAACACAGTATTTGCACACAATTTATATCTTCTGCAGTTCACATGTTAAGCATCAAGGTTTAGTACCATTTGTTGCGTCTGTCAATTCTTTATAGGCGTTGTGATATTTACAATTAATTGAAACGCCCATGCTGCCTGAATGATTGATCACGAGATACACTATATTTAATGAAGAGTGTTCCAGGGAGAGGCTGAAAATCAAAGATTGAAGAAGACAGGGTGTTGAGCGGACATTTATTGCTGGGGTAGAGTTAATGCTGTAGATTTAGGATCCTCACTATAGGAGCATATGCTGACTTAAACACCAATGACTTAAACTTAACCAATGACTTAAACACCATAACAAGAACCTGGCAGAAACTGGGCAGCAATAGATGTAGGATGGGGAGGTTGAAAGGGCTCCACTTTTGAATTGAATCCCACAGAGTTCATATGACAGATTTTTGGGAGATTGTGGGCAGGGCAACAAAGTCAGAAAAGTCATGTGTTCTGGTGGATCGCTTACTCTGGCACTGAGGGAAAAAAACAATAAAACTTGGTTTAAACTACCAGTGCTGCCTTCTGTTCCCCTCTGGAGAGGGAGCAGAAGTCACTGCGCAGAACAAACGCAAGCCTATAGTCTTTAGGACGGAAGTAATGAAAACACTCAGTCTGAGTTTTAATCAATCAATCATACAAAAACCCAGTACAATTGACTCTAATATAGCTTAATCGTGAGCACAGCTGACTGTGTGTTGGTGATGTGTGGTTTTCATAAGGTATTGAAATGGTATGAGAAGGAGAGTGAACATCACATGTTGGTTGCAATATGTGCCGTTAAAAAGAGAGTTAGAAGCCACACCTTCAGAATATATTGAAAATCAATAATATCAGACTTTGAATTTTGCATTTATTGATGTCAAGACAATCAAGGTGCTTAACAAGAGTGAATGCCAGATCGTCACTCATCCAGGAACACACATTTAAAAAGTAAATTCAATAGTGTAAAAGCCTTGTGTCATGTATCGTATTAAAAAATGTTTGGCAGTGTCTTGATTGATATTTTCGATGTAATGATATTTGATGAAAAGCAGATACAACAATACTGTGTATCTTATCGGTCCAATAAATATTAAAGTGTCCATCAGTTGTAAAATAACCGTGGTTTGAAAATGATTACTAGTTGATCTCACTTATTATTTATTAAGACACATTATACTACTAAAATATTAATTGTCCCCGTCCTGATTAAACTTTATTTTCACAGCATCAATGCTTCGTTTCTCTATATTTTGTGAGGGCAGGATGACGATTACATTTTTATACCAATTTCTTCTTCAAACTTAGACTAAATCCTTGAGCAAAGTCTACACATATGCAGACAGAAAGGGTGCATAATGGTTGAAAGGCCAAATTGTAATCCCTTAATCTTTGTGCACATACATACAGAGGCATATGAAAAATATAATCTATGCTATGCTGATCCTGCTGTACTTGGCCTCAAGTCTGCATGTGGCACAATAACTGGTTGTTCAAATGACACTAGCGATTTATTAACTGGGTTAATATTTAGATTTTCGAGAGTTCAATGGGGCTAACATCTGCTTTACAATGTAACGTTCCCCGATTTGGGATTAATAAAGTATCTATTTTATTATCCATCTATCTAACACAGAATGATGCAACATTTAGGAAGATACTATTTGTATACTGTAGGTCTGTTCCAAAATGGCAATAGTTTGACTTGGTGAAAAACACGAGGAAAGTAGACATTTCAGCTGAATCTGACCATATATGGAATTTCAGGGCTCTCCAAGACACACTGTGAGTTTCCCCTAATTTGACTTCCAGTCCTCAGTTTCTCCATTGATTTCCAGCCCCTTGTCTCTAGGGACAGTATTCACCATGGTCTGTGGTTACAAACTATAGCAAACTACTTTTGTGCTTCTTCTGTGCTGTTTTACATCCACACTAACACAGTGACAGTTCGACAGTGTCAGTTTGTTACTATGGAAACAGAATGTTGAGAGTAGCTTGTTTAGTTTTCAGCTGGTAAATAAACAACACACACCAGAGATGAGAGCAGCGTCACTGCCTGCTAAATCAGCCAATGTATGTCTATGGCCAACACTTCATCACAGCTTCACTATGATGCTAATGACATTCACGTCAATCGTCTAAGTAAATAGTTGAAATGTTAAAAATCAAAGTAGTGGATATATGTATTGCAAAACACTGAAACCCAGTTTAAGTGTAAACCTGCTGACTGCCACTCGTCCACTGGCACACTGACCGGACTTTGATCCCCTATTGATTTAAATTCAACCATAAATCGACGCCGGTCATCTATCTCCAATGACATTATGTCATGTTTGGCTATCTGACCTTTGTAATTTGTCTCCTTGTAGATTAAAATGGATTCGTAATTTGTAGTCGTCATAAAACCTAGAATGAAACATTTGATGAAAACCTAAGAATTTACTGCCAATCAAATGACAGCGAATGTTTTCACCTAAAAAGGGGCCAAAAAATAATAAAATGATGTGATCTCATTTATAATCAAAGATAGCAAACGTTTGGTCGCAACTTCTACTCAAAGATCTCTCTGTTATGTTAAAAGTTCAGTCAACCGACGTCTTAGCCAATGTCCTCTTTTATTAATCATACATAATACGGTAGGATTGGCTGTAAACACACTGCCACTGATGCAGGCTTTATTGAAAAGCATTGCCCTGGAGCTGTTGTGCAGTTCACAGATCACTGTGAAGCATCAGCCACGCTGCACACACCGAATAAACGCTGGGCACACAAATGCGATGGAGCTGCCAACCTTCCCGTCGCACAAGGCTAAGCTGATTAAAATAATAATTTGCCAAAAGGTTGATGTTCTCCTTCAGGACCCTTGGCAGCGGAGCCGTGCCCCCAAAAGCCAATTAAAGAGTCGTTTCAAGTCGTGAAGGGACAATGGGGACACTCGCGGGTTCTGTTCAAAAGTGGCGAACTTAGTTTAATGGAACGTTTTTTAGAAAGGATGATAGTTAGCTTTGTGTTGGTCATGCCGCGTTAGAAAGAGAGAGAGTTTTCTTATGGAGGGCCCAATACAGAAACGGTTTAAATGAGTCTTCTGAAGACAAATCAAACGTTCCTGTTTTATGCAAAGAGGAAAACGTGATCAGGGTCCTTTACTTTTGTTAAAATTGAAAATACTATGCCCTGGAAATACTCCAAGAAAAGTGTAAAGTCCTGAATTCAAAATGTTACTGTATATAAAAAGTACTCATTATGCAGTATGGTCTCTTTTTAAAGTAATATATTATTATTCAACAGTTTTATGTTGTTTTTATCACAAACAATTACATTAAGGGCATTTTAATCTTGTTTGTCTGCTTGAACCTGTTTCAATACTTAGTATAATTAGCAGAGTACTGTATCGTATCATACAAGCACCATGTGTGTATTTGTATAGTGTCTGAACGTGTTAAATCATTTTAGAAAAAGCGTAATATTTCCCTCTTAAAATTAGAGAACTAGAAGTACCAAATGGCAGAAAATGTAAATACTCAAAGTATAGTACAAGTATGTCGTCTAAACTAATAACATCAGGACCTGCTGAAGTCGTTACAAGAGTTCAAGGATATGTTGATGTTCGTGTGTGTCCATTCATTCTCAGCTGTGAGCAAAAGCTCCTCAACACCTGTCTGTCTCTCCCACCTGTCCTGTCCCCACCCCCGTCCTCTCAGTCATGTTCAGAGTTGGAGCTTGGATCCTTATTACCAAAGGCTTGGCCCCAAAATGGCTCCCATGAGGACTTCTGCTAATGCTGGCTCCAGTTTCACACCACGTTCAGCTGAGTGTAGGAAAGCCACAAAGTCAGATTTTCTTAGTTTACCCAAACTCAGCAGCAGATTCTACCTCAGGGAAAATATCAGATTTTGTCCGCTTGCCTTTTATTACACAACAAAGTCCC